TTACCTGTATGAAAGACACCTGGTAGCCAGAAATCCTGCTGAATGATAGGGGATCAAATACTTATTTCCCTCATGAACATGCAAATCAGTGCATAATTTGTTAGACACGCATTTCTTTTGAATTCTTTGTTGCTATTCTGTCTACACCTACCATGCGATTTGTAGACTGATAATTTCTTTGTGAGTGGGCAAACATTCAAAATCAGCAGGGGATCAAATACTTATTTCCTTCACTGTTCATGCAAATGTTTAAACACTGAAGACACAGGCAGCGAGAGAGGGACACAAAGCAGCTGTCAATCACCGCAGTGGAAGAGGAAGAGGGGCAGCCCCCATAGGTATGACACATGCATGTTTACATTGATCCAAGCTGGACCAATGTAGGTATACAATAGTAATCATTCCTGGAGTCCAGCTTTAAAGTTATTCACACAAAGACAGTTTTTGATACTATTTCTTTGCAGTCTGGTAAGGATTCTGAGATTCTATACCTGGCCATAGACAGATCAAAACTTGGCCAATTCAGCAGGGGCTAACTGGATTTCAACCTGTGTGTCACTGTCGCTGTTCAACAGAAGTCAAACGTTAGATTGATTTCTGTTAAAGGGACACACTGGAAAGCTTTTGTTGATCAATACACAGCTGAAAAACATTCAATTGTTTGTTATATTATGATAGGATACATCATACAACAGCATTTAAAGTGTTACTAAATCCACAACAGTAAAATCAGTCTGTATATGCAGTAAAGCATGCTTGTTATGCTCAAAGTGGAACCTAAGGGGTTAATTCTCCACATTGTGTAAAAGGCTGTTTGATCCTGTCTTCTCTGGTCCTCCCCTTCTTCCACAGACCTCAATCCATCTGCTGATAGTACAGAACCCTAGGAGTCACTCTGCACATGCTCAGTTTGGTGTGTATTGCCAGAGGTTGTTTTTTTTTTTTGGGGGGGGGGGGAGGGTGCATGTGATCACCACAGGTCCAATCAGTGCTGTTCAGACGGGGTCATACAGCCTCATAGGACAGGCAGAGGAGAATGAAAACTCCTCCTACAAGATTAACTAGTGCATGGCTGGACATAGATAGAAGTCAAAATACTGTTACATATTGCTAATGAGAACAAGTATTTAGCAGTTTATATTTACTAAAATAATTGCATTTCCCATACCGCCCAGTTTTTTGAGATGGGAACGAGGGACACCTATTAGCAGATCTATGTAGGCATAGGACACACCCCCTGCCACGCCCCCTTAAGGTAGAATTAGACAAAAAAAAAGATTAGTTAAACCCACAAGTGCTTTTATTTTACCACTACTATTCCTTTTTACTGGCACCTGAAGTTTACAAATGCAACAATTTAGAAATTAGATGAAACACTTTTTGAAAGATAAATAGTGCATTTTATATACAACTATATAGATCAGACCAAAATATGGGACAAATGAGGAGGACAGAAGGACTCTGTTCCACATCAGGGACAGTCCCTCGAAATCAGGGACAGTTGGGAGGTATGCATTTCCATGTTCTGTGTACTATGGAAAAGCGGATATAGTAAATGCAGGGTCCTGGGTTTAGTAACACTAACTATCCAAGTCACAACTAGGAGGGATCAAATATGGCTTCTGCTATAAAGCCTCCCAGCCACATTCTCTTTACATCTGACAGCTAAATATCCAGTATGTCCATCACAAATTGATGAATGTTTCCAGAGCAATTGCTAATCTTCCCTGTATGGGAGAACCACATGTGACCCTGTGGCAAGCAGTGAATTAACAAGGACAGGATTGAACTTGATGCTCAATTACTCTGGTCCAGTAATCACACCGGTCCCTGCAAGGGTAATGACTACATCAGGTTTCTTTGAAATAAAGTCTTTTTGAGGTGCCTTTTTGCTCACTGTAAATTGAACACATCAGTCTCCTGATCCAGCCAGATCTGGCAACAATCTAATATCTATAAACTGCCCACAGACGACGCTGGCCGTGGGGGGTAATTGCTCTCACACTGGTTTACAAAAACCTTGTCTGGTTGCAGTTATATCCCCCAGTATGAAGGTGTCTTCAGCATGACTCCCTCTTCTAATTTATTAGGCCTAAGCACCAACGGTCACCAAGCTACCAGACGCAGATGTCTGAGGATGGCCAGCTAATGTCCAGTCGCCTTCTACGGTTGGCTTTAACTAAAAATGTTCAAGTGGGAAAATATTCTGACCACTTGCGGATCTATCCCCTACCATGAAATTATTATTATTTATTATTATATAGGATTTATATAGCACCAACAGTTTGTGCAGAGCTTTACAACATGATGGCAGACAAATGAAATAGAAAGGTCTTCTTGTATATGACGAGGGTGCATACTGCAACCTATGGCACCAGGCTTATCTTAGAACATTTGCCTATCAGAGGTTATTTTAAGTGCTCCACAGACAGTGCGATTATCAACCAAGTCTATTCAAATTGCAGACATGGAACAACTGGTGTCTAATAGCTGTAGACAGAGACAGGTTTTATTTCAGGCAATTGGCCCAAACCTTTTTAAATGAGTACTTAAGCTGGCCATGGATGGATCAAACCTGGCCAGCATGGGCCGGGATAAATTTCAGTCAGTGCATGGCCCTCTCTGTTCAAACAGACAAGTTAGAGAACGTTTGTCAATCAATGGCTGCAGCCTTTGGTCAGTGTCTTCTGACAGCTCCGAGTCCAGTGTCAGAATACAATATCATGACCAGGGAAATTCCTCCATATACCTTGATTATGTGGATGGAGGAATCTGTTCTTTTTTTTTTTTTTCAGTTAGCCTTCTGGCTGAACGAAAACGAAAAAAAAAATCAATGGCCAGCTTTATTCTTCCATATAGCACAGCCAATAACACAATAAAATAGCAATCAGTATTTAGTGATACAGGTGTACCTCGGTTTACAAATGAAAATCCATTGAAAATAATGCCTCGGTTTACGAAGTTTTTTTGCAATACCAACGGATTAATTGGTTTTCAATGCATTTACAAATTTTTTTTTAATCATGTCCCTGTACAGTACTATACCTATAAAGTGCACTTTATAAAGAGTTTTGAACAGGTAAGACTTTTTTCTGACCTACGGAACGGATTAATTGGGTTTTCGATGCATTTACGAATTAATTTTTAATCATGTTCCTGTACAGTATTTATGCCTTTAAAGTGCACTTTATAAAGAGTTTTGAACAGATAAAAGACTTTTTTAAACTTTTTTCTGACCTCCGAAACAGATTAATTGGTTTTCAATGCATTTACGAATTAATTTTTAATCATGTCCCTGTACAGTATTTAAGCCTTTAAAGTGCACTTTATAAAGAGTTTTGAACAGATAATAGACTTTTTTTTAACTTTTTTCTGACCTCCGGAACGGATAAATTGGTTTTCAATGCATTCCTATGGGAAACTGCGTTTCGGTTTACAAATTTTTCGCAATACGAAAATTCGCACAGAGCGCATTAAATTCATAAACCTAGGTATGCCTGTATATTTATTTCAAAAATTGTATTTGTCTGAAGCTCTGTTCCAAAGCTGCTAACCAAACCTTTGAATTTGTTCAATTTCTCCATATTTCAGTATGGCAATATAACGTGTAAAAGATGGGACTGCACAAGTCTACACATCGGCCACATAGCTTTCTCCAATCGACTTATGTTGATGTTGTATAAGGAAATGCAGGATGATCTTTGCTGAACCACCTCATCACCCGCCATTTTGAAACAGTGTCTGCCATCTTAGAAATGTATTAGCCAATTTAGAGATGTTCTCATTCTAAGTTTACAAGAGAAGTATGGCCAAAGCTTTGTGACCATACCTATCTTTTAAGCGTATAATGAGAACATCTCTAAAATGGCTGACACATCTCACAGGAGTGCACTTATTTTGCTGCTCTGTGATTTAGAGTCAGCTTATAGCGGGCTATCGCTCACTGGTAGCTGACGTGGTAGAGCCGCTCTAGGCTCTAGAAGGATACCGACAATATTGTCAAGATCCACCCAGCTGCCTGACTGATAGTTGATTCCAGCTCTCTGTGCACAGCCGAGAGGCAAATCCAGTTGTACTTGCCCACCTCCAGCCCAGCACTTCAGTGAGCACTGGAAGAGCTGAGTGGAGAGTGGTGACTGACAGTCACTGCTCTCTGCTCTAAGCAGACCATGAGCTGAGCAATCAGTGGTCATGTGATCACTCAGTTCTTGAACTAAGAGCAGAGGTAGGACAGCTGCAGCACCACACCAGTGCTGCAGCACAGAGGTGAGTATGGGAGTTTATTTCTTTATTAACCCCATACATCTTTTTATAGTGGTATATATCTGATTCTGTCTGAATTTGAATAAACATGTTTTTGAAGAGAAATACTGCAGAGTCATCGTCCCATGACATGGATTATTGTCAGGGATATTACCAGACATCGACAATCTTATCTATGGATATCAGAACCCCCCAGGAGTAGTCTATAAATAACAGAGAGGCCACTCTAAGCAATTAATGATACTACACCCTAGTTCCATAGAAAAATTCAGCTTAATGTACTGTGAGAGCTAACCCTTCGATTTTATGCATATCTTTTTTAGAAAGAAAAAAATGGAGTTTCTATGCTAATAAAATAATGTATTTCATTCTGAGTGTAGTAGTCCCACTTTAGTAACCACGGCACCACCTGCTTGGAGTTTGCAAGTTCTCCCTATGCCTGCATGGGTTTCCTCCAGGTAGTCCAGTTTCCTCCCACACTCCAAAGACATGCAGTTAGGTTAATTGGTTCCTGTTTAAATTGGCCCTAGTATGCATGAATGGGAGTTAAGGACCTTAGATAGTACGCCGTTTGAGGGTTAGGGACTGATGTAAATGTATAGTATATATATGTAAAGCACTGCATAAATTGATGGCACTATATAAGTACCTGTAATAAAAATAATAAATATCAGATGAGACTCTGATTGGTTTAAGGGAGCCTCCCTGATGTTGCCTACTGCTGATATAAGGGTCAATATATTGTTATGTGTACTTTATATAGTGGTTACTGACAGGGGCGGACTGACCATTCAAGCACTCAGGCACTGCCTGAGGGCCCAGGCTCTGTAGGGGGCCCCATGAGATGCCCCTGGTACCTTTCATTGGCTTTTTCATAGGCTTTTTTGGGTGTGGGCTTGGACACAGGGGCCCCATGAACCCCTATTGCCCGGTGGCCCCACGAGTTGTCAGTCCACCCCTGGTTACTAAGCAACCAGACCAGATACTAATTTCTTAATGGGTAATTCAGGTCTTCAGCAAAACATTGTTTAGTACTAATGATGTTTTTCCAGTTCTACAGGTAGGCAAAGTAAAACTCAGGAGCATGGAATGTGTAGAGGGGCCTTGGCTGGTGACTGAGAGCTATGAAACCATGGGGGACTGCCCTGATTGCTGCTGCCTGATGGACTACACTTGAGGGGAATCAAAACTTGAATCAGATGATCCAATTACATGAATGTGAACAGTGCTCAATTCAATTTGAGTGACTGATTTGATTCCTCCCAGTGTATGCCATGAACTGATAGTAGCTACAGCAGTAATTAAATGTAACCATTGAATAGACTACTGGTACATAGAGTAGCAAATAGTATATAGCCAAGGAAAGTTAAGAATGTAGTGATGTAGATTTTATGATAGCTCAGGGATTAACAAAATGAGGAATAGTGATTATATCAGATCAGATGAAGAGAGATCCACAGCAAATGATCAGGGTAGGCATAGCTAATTATTATAAGGATAAATTGGCAAGAATGCCGACCTGGGGGCGGTCATGGATCTGGAGGACTGGAATAGGGCCTGGTCGTTTATAGCTAAATGTTAATTTAATATAACCACGCTGGAGGTGGCATACAAAGTATTATTCAGTTGGTATTGGGTCCCGGCTCGTTTGGCCCAGGCGAACCCTGCCTGCAGTGATCGATGCTTTCGGGGTTGTGGTCATCGTTGAGATGTGTTGCATATATGGTGGTCATGCCCGAAACTGATTTGTTTTTGGTCTTGTGTATTTGGCCTCCTTTTCACCTTGTTCCATCTCTCCATACGCCGGGATGCTCGGTACGCTTTGATTCATTGTCCCATAAGGGGCCTGTTGGTTCACCAGCAGAAGTTGGCTTCCTATTTGTTCTTGTTGGCAACTAAAGCAATTTCTCAGGCATGGAAGAGCCCGCTTGTCCCTCTTCAGGGGCTGCAGGATAGTATGACCACTCTGATGCTTAATGAACAGATGTTGAGTATCTGTAACTACTCCCAATGGAAATTTTTGAAAATATGGAAGCCGTGGTTGACATATGCCTTTCCCAGGCTCCCCCCAGCTAGTCTGGGTTTGTGATGTTGTTCGATATTGGCATTCCTGGACCCCAGCTCCTGGTCTTGTTTTCTTCTTCCTTTTCTATTCCTTTTACCTTGCTATTTTTGTTGTTTTTATGAGGCGTTGGATAGCTGCCTTTGGTTTGAGCTACTGTCCGTGTTATATCACTGTTTTTGGAATTCATGTGCCATTGATAGCCCCTGCGTAGGCGCACCTTTTGCTCTGTTGGTGTTAGAGCATTGTTTCTTTACTTTTTTATGTGCCATTGATAGCCCCTGCGTGGGCGTGTCTTGTTGCTCAAGTCTTGTTGAAATGTTTTACTAAATTAATAAAAACATTGAAATATAAATTGGCAAGAATCCTGTACTTATATATGAGATGCCACTTATGCTTTGGGTAAGCATCTGAAAGCCGTCGAAACCCTGAAGGGGAAACCTGATAAATTATGATACATGATACAGTGGGAGCAGAATTTGGATAAATACTTAGATCTTACAAAGTGCAACAAGTTAGCCCTTCTGGCCTCTAAGTCCTATTTAAACACTTCCATTGTAAAAGCAAATTACAAAGTACTTTGGAAGATGGGAGATGGTATATGGTGCCTATAAAAATAGCTTTTCATGTCCCAGGTGCCTCCCCTATGTGCTTCAGAAGATGTGGCCTGGAGGGCATGGACTACATGCCCGAGAGTTAAGAGATTTTAGATTCAAGTCTATAACTTTATATACTCTGTGACCCAGACCAACATCAATAAATCCCCCTGGCAAGCTTAATTAGGCCAACCAATAAAAGAGGCCCTGAGACATACCAAAAATTAATATTTTTATATTCCTAGCTGCCAGAATAGCAATTGCTAGATCATGTTGATCTTTGATAATCCCGTTCGCACAGATAAATGCAAAACTGTTGTGGATAATGGTAAATGAAAAAATTATCAGCTAATCTGAATGACAACATGCTATTTTTGAAAGAAAAACAAATATGGGACCCTTGGTTACATTATAGTTCAGGGGAACAATGAACAGCATTGTAAGCTAGACTCTTGGGATGGATAAAGAGGTGGGGCACACCTCTTCACACTCTCTTTTGCTTTGCTTTCTTTTCCTACTTTTGTTTTTCTCATCTTGTATTCACTCATACATACTAAAGCTATTTCCAAGTTTGTTACAATTATTGTAGCTAGATATCTTTTCTGTATATCTTTTCTGTATCAACGTGAGTAATGGTCTTCCAATCTTGAAATAAATCCAGGAATGGTTGTATGCTAATACTTAGGAAACCTTGTACACTACTTGTTTGTGAATTGTAATATAAAAAAGTATTCATGTTGTGTTCTGTTTATGAACCACTGTTTTCAAAACAATACAAATGATTGGAAATAAAACCCTGAAGTGGGAAATTCATGATGCTATTTAGTCATAACTCAAATCTCTAAGAATGAAGAAGTGACCTGCTAATAGATATTAACCCACTGTTTTGGTTTAAGAGTATTAGAAAAAAAATTGTTAAGAATCTTTGATAGGCATGCTAAAAATAATTGGTGTGTCTATGGGGAATACTTACATATTTGTTTATATATTTGAAGTTTATAGGCAGGTGCAGTCTATTTTCTCCACTGCAGGTGGCGCACAAACGCACTGACACTGCAGAGGTTGAGGAAGTCAAGAGGAACCTAGCTCCTCTATGGTTTCCTGAGTCATATGACTTTGGTGGCCATCTTGTGTCAAGCAGAGTGTACTTAAAACCCTGGCTCCCAGGCTTGGTGCACATTTTCACATGTGGCTAGAGTAGGGACAGGTCTTCCGGCTGTCAGGGACAGTGCTTAGAATCAGAGAATAGTTACAGAGGAGTAGGGAGAGTGCAGGAACATACCATCCTTCCTGGAAGCCTCTCCACTTGGGTACGGACCAGCTAGGCCGCATTCTGTCCCTAGAGACAGATGCTGTCAGCACACCTACTGCTCTAATACTCCTCTGTTATACCCTGTGAGTGTCCGTGGTTGGTTTGCCTCCCCGCCGGACTTGCACTACCAAACTTTATTTGCAATATATTCCTGTTACTCTGCACCTGAGTGTTTTCTGCCACCGCACAACGCTGCACCCACCCACATGCTAGTTATGTGTTGCCTGACAACTATATGTAAGAAAATAATGTGGAAAAGAGGTCTCAGCAGGGGTGGACTGACAACTTATGGGGCCCCCGGGCAATAGGGGATCATGGGGCCCCTGTGTCCTTGCCCAAACTCAAAAAAGCCTATGAAAAAGGTACCAGGGGCATCTCATGGGGCCTCCTACTGACCCCGAGCCCTCAGGCAGTGCCCGAGTTTCCAAATGGTCAGTCCACCCCTGGGTCTCAGCTACCTCTTTTGTTCTTGCTAAGGAAAAGGCTGGAAGAAATCACAAAGGGAACAAAACAGCTTAATACATGGTAGAGATACATAAACCATGACAAAAACCCTTAATCTCCCTGGCGGTATTCCCGAGTGTAGCTCGGGGTAAACTTTCAGAACCAAAAGCGGTAACCCCGAGCTACACTCGGGAATACCCTGCAGCGTTGCTCTGGGATCACTCTTGCACTTACCTTGTCCTGCGCTCTCGCGATGTCCTCCCTGCAGCGTCCCTGGCCATCTCCTCCGGCCGATGCCGGCATCCGTCTTCCGGGTTCCGGTCCCTGAGAGCGTCGGGATGTACGGGGGATGGAACCGGCGGGAAATGTAAAAATGTTAAAAAGTGACATTCACTAAATACACTAAAATCACATAGTATAACATACTGTTTCAAAGCATTTCACATACATTTTGTCTCTACTGCTTTGTCATGTGCCCTGCCTGCATTTTGACTGTTCTTTCTGCCTTGAAACTGAGAAACGTCCATGGCGTCCAAAAAGCATCCCTTTAGATCAAAAGCGGTTTTAGACCAGCTAGAGTACAGCGATAGTAAATTAGAACCACTTGCAGAATTGAGTGATAATGATTCGTGGGGAAATTCGTCATCAGACACTGAAATCGATTCTGCGACTGAGCTCAGTGATGTGCAAACCTGGTGCTATATTTCAAATTTCAGTGTTTTTGGTTTGATTATATTATTGAATTAAATTTATTATTATATTATTTTTTATGATTATTTATTAAATTATAATTTATGATTTCATGTTTCAAATTTTAACATACCCAGATTGTTTACTAGATTCTTGTTCGGACAGATTTCAGTGAGTTATTCCTAAAAAATTACAGGCCTACAATAAAAAAACAACATATTTCCATGCAAAAAAAAATTCCTTTTTTCAGGTTTTTGTCTTTTTTTTTTTTTACCTAGAGATCTTCCCAGTAACGCATTCCCTGTCCTAGGATGACAACTCTCACTCACCACACTGTATCTTTGGACTTGCATTATCACTCTAGCACAAGACGTTTGTCAGGACTACAGAGCACCTCACCTTTTTGTCAATTGGGAGGTGTTCTGCAGACCCAAGAGGAAAACTGGGTAGAGCTGATAACACTGCATAGGACACAGGACAGCACTGGATTTCTGGCAATATCAACATGAGTTATTGTTGCATGTATCAAACAGGTACAACAATGGAATTGTCAACAGACAAAAGGGATACAATAAAAGAGTTTTTTTTTTACCATTTACATACACTTTATCTTAGAGGAAATTTATGATCAGAACATACACTTTCATTTTATAACATCAGCTTTGTAATAGCAATACAAACAATAGTTATTTTTGACAATCTAATACAGCCTTACCTGAAAAATCTTCATGTTGATGCTGCCTGCTAGCCATCTCTTTCCACATGGATTTCTTGCATGCTTTGCAGCTTCTCCTCTGTGGTTTACTTTCAATTTCTAAGGACTACATATCCCATAGTACCTTGCTGCCTGTAATCAG